CCACCAGAGAAAAGCAGAGGCGCTTGCCCCGGGCGCAGAGTGCAGTGGCACAGGTGCAGCGCGGGTGCCGGGATGCCTGGCTGCCAGGCAGCCCTGCCAGGCTACCTTCTCCATGCCTCAGTTTACTCATCTGAAAAAAGGAATAGAAGAGAGATAACAAGTCCCACTATATTGAACTCTTCTTTTTTTTTTTCTTTCGCCTTTTTTGTCTTTTTTGGTGACTGGCAACGGATTGCAACCCTCAGTGTTGCGCCCGTACCGGACCGGGACCGGCAATGGGATCGCAACCCTCGGTGTTGCGCCCGCACCTCGCTCAGCCAGTGAGCGGCCGGTCTGTATGTGGGATCTGAACCCTCGGCGGGAGCGCCACCGCACTCCCAAGCTGCACACTGTAGCAGTGCGCCACCGGGCTGGTCCATATATTGAACTCTTCTGAGGATCAAGGCAGTTAAAAGTAAAAAGTCCTTGGAACAGTAAGTGTAGGCAGGAATGATTTGAACGTGAGTGCTCAGTTCAAGTCAAGCAAGAGGGGCTGACGTCCTTAATTCCTTCCCATTGAAAACAAAGGCTGTGGCGGTCTCAGGCGAGATGTGTTTACCTCCCTCGCTTTGCACAGACAGCGACGACTTACACATGCCTTGTGTCGACGCAGGCTCTGGAAGTGAAGCCCCGGGTAGCAGCGGCATCTGCGCAGGAGGCGAGCTCCAGCCACCGGAGCAAGACAAAGGCCAAGACGACGACGTCCCTCTGGCTTGGGGAGTGCAGCCGTCTTTCCAGCAGCAGTGAGGGAGTCATAGCTCGGGCCTGACTACCTGCAGCTCAGGAGGGCATCCGGCTGCCCTCCGGGTCACCCCTGCTAAATCTGTTGGCAGAAAAAGGCACGGCTGGTGCCAGCAGAATGGGTGGAGATAGCCGGGGGCCGACGCCTGCGCCTCTGTAGAAAGAGCAGGGCACCGTCTCTGATCTCAGCCCTCTGGGTGGTGGGCAGCGTGCAGGAGAGGAAGGGCCCATTAGGGCAAGAAGGGCGGGCGGGCGCCGGCCCCCTGCAGGGCTCCCATGATAGGCAGGCGGGGTGGGGTGGGGGGCTCCCCTAGCGCCTCATCCCTTCAGTCCTTTGCCCCCTCCAGAACCAGTTCAGCATCAGGGGCTCCCCTGGGCCTCTCCAAAGGCCTCGCAGTTAGGTGCCACCTTGGACAATCCTAGAAGGCAGAAGGAAGAAAAGAGGAACCAGACAGAAAGGCCACATTTGTGGACAGAGCTGGGGACGGGGTGGGTGGAAGCTCTGGGGAAGGGCAGGGGTTTGGGAGCGACCCAGAGGAGAGCAGATCAACTCCACGCAATGGGACAGAGAAAGGAGCCACCAGGCCCCCAAAGACATAGAGGAACCTCCAGTGCTCATGGCCGAGTGGAGAGGCCAGTCTGAAAGGCTGTGTGCCAGGTGACTCCAGCATATGTCCTCAGGAAAAGGCGACACTGTGGAGACAGGTGGCAGACCAGTGGTGGCCAGGGGTGACGTAGGAGGGAGGGGGGAAGGAAGAGGTGGAGAACAGGGCACTTGTGGATCATACTCTTCCCTACGACACCGTAACGTGATCCATGTCACCATGCGTTGTCACAACCCACAGAGCGCACGACGCAGAGGGAACCCTGATGTAAACTACGGACGGTAGTTAATAGTCGAGTATCAATATCATTCATCGGTTCTAATGAATGTCCCACACGAGTGACGTGCAAGGGAGAGGGGGACAGGGGAACTGTCCTTTGTGCCCACTTTTCCTGTAGACCTAGAACTGCTCTCAAAAATAGTCTATTAATTTAAAACAAAAAGAAATAAAAAGCAAAAACCAAAAGCAGAGCCCCAGGAGCCGGGTGGCTGGGCTGGGAGGACAGCGGCAGCCCGCGGGCTGTCAGGGGCACTGCGGCTGCCACGTGGCTCAGCCTCCGGCCAAACCAAAGGACCCCTCGAAGGTCATCTGACTGGATGTCGTTTCCCCTCCTGTCACTGAAGAAGCCTTTTCTTTCCACAGCTTTGGTGCAAAAAGCCGTCTGGCTGGTGGCCGTAGGTGGCAGTTTTAACTTTGGATGAGGCACCAAGAAGGCTGTGCGTGGCCGGGCGGCAAGACTAACCGCCCCTCGGGCTTCCCTGCTGGCTCAGCCGCTGTCCATCAGGTTCACCGTCACCTTTTGATGCCTCCAGAGGCACAGCCTGACCCGACGGGACAGGAGCTGCTCACCTTCCTGCTGCAGCAGAAGGGCACGGCCGATGCTCAAGCACCCTCCGAGCCCCCGGCAGAGGGCTTCCTTCCCGTGCCCAACTGGTGATGCTCCCGGGAGCCAGGTGGCCCCAAGGGGATGGCGCATGGTGGAAATCAGGCCCCTTTCATAGCCCCCATCAGCTCTGGGCCCAAGAAGCCACTTGGCTGACACTGCTTGGTGACGCTGGGCTCTCAGTGCAGCCACAGTGAGTGTTCAGTGTGGAAAGATGAACCAACCGACCCTCAGCTCCCATGGGGACTGGAATAACCTGCAATCTAAGCTCGTGACTTACCTTTTCACTTTTTTTGTACTTTTACATTAATGTTAAGTTGACATGTGAGCATGGGCTGTGCACTAAGAAAAACCTGAGTTTTTCTATTTTCTATTTATTTACTGGCTGTGACCTTTAGGACGTTAAGCTCTCTAAAACTCAGTTTCTTCAACTGTGAAATGGGCATTATCCTCCTGGTCTCACTGATAATGTGCCTAAGGGAGAACCCCGCCGGTGCAGGCTCAGACAAGGCTGCCCGGGGCAGTGACATGCCCTTGCTTCCTCCTCCACCCCTCATCCCCCAACCGACCCCCTCCACCAGCAACAGGGGATGGCCCTCCCTCCTCAAGACTCCCAGGCTTAGCTTCCTGCGTATCCTGAAACAACGTACGTTGGCCCTTTATATCCATGGGCTCTGCTTCTGTGGATTCAACCACTGCAGGTCAAAAATATTCAGAAAAAAAATATTCCACAAAGCTCCACGAAGCAAAACTGGAATTTACTGCACATTGAGTACTACACTGGATCCACGTGAATGAAGTGATGTGTAGGCATCGTACTAGGTATTATAAATAACCCAGAGACGGTCCCACATACAGGGGAGGATGTGCGTAGGTTATATGCAAATGCTAGGACGTGTTACATAGGGGACTGTGGACTTTGGTATCTGTGGAGGTCCAGGAAACAAGCCCCTGAGGATACCCAGCGAGGACTGTATATTCCTCAACAATGGGAGACTTTGGGACTGGGATGTGATTGAAAGCTGGAGTGGGTGGGAAGGGGACAGAAATGGTGTCATTCTGATAGAATTCCTGTGCGGCACAAGGGGTGTGCTGAGTGCCCAGAAGCACGAACGGTGCTCCAAGGAGAAGATGGCGAGGATGGGCTGGGACGGAGGGGACACTGTGAGAGAGGCACCCCTGCAAGGTGACAGGCACGGACATAACACAGCAGGGAGGGGAGGTGTGCGGCCCCCATCGCAGCCCCACCGCACGCCCTCACTGCACCCACGCAGGTTAATCTCTGTTTATTTGTTTTAAAACAAAACTAAAAATCACCACTCAACATATCTGAGAACAAGGCTCCATCACAGTTAAAAGCTTTCTGTAATGTGCACAGAATGTCACCTGCTGGCGATCAGACATGAGTGACTCTGGTGTTGCTCAGCCACGGCTCGGCAGCCTGAGCCCTGTCCCGCTTTCTCTCGTCCTCTCTGTCACTGTGCTCCTCATGCCACCAGACAGCTAGCTGATTCCACTGAGGGTGCACACCCACCGAGCAAAGACGTGGCAGTGCCCCGCTGGCTGCACGTGCACCTGTCGCAAGTGCCTGACATGCCCCCTCCCGCAGCTGAGGTCCAGACCGTCCAGAAGGCAGGCAGCGGGCCCTGTTCTCAGGAGAAGAGGAAAAGGCAGTTCTGGCCCTGAGTCTTCTCCTGGGAGGGCCGACTCCTTGCCTGTGCCCTCCTGGGTCAGAGGGTGCAAACCCATCTGGTGTCATCGCTCGTGCTTAGTGTTGGCTTCACTTCGCTCCAGGGAGACCCTGCTGCCGTTCCGGGGCGCTTCCTTCTTGCTCCAGTCCTTTTCACAGTAAAACTCGGCTAGCACGGGGCAGTGCTCGGAGGCCACTCCGCCCCAGGACCAGTTGTCTGGAATCCAAGGGTTCGTGAGACCTTCTCTCACTACAGCCCAGTGACCTGAAGGGAGAGGGAAAGAGACCCAGAAATGAGGACGGGGCCTGGCGGCACCCTCTGCAAGGCCGGCAGGTGCAGGGCCGACGCTGCACGGCCGCGAGCCAGGCGCCCTCACACGCCCTCCCGCAGCTGCCTCGTCTGCGCAGACGGAGGGTCCCGGCCGATCTGATGAGCGCGGACGGTTTGCCCACTTAGGGCCTGAAACCACCCCGAGGCCAGGCCCCCCGCCATTCAGATCCACATGAGAACGGGGCTGATGTGCCCTGTGCATGCACCACCACTCATGTCGCCAGCAAGACTGAGGGTTTGACACAGGGACACAGCCTCACAAAGCTGTCCAAAGTCAAGGTCTCACTGCAAAGCAAAAGACACTAAGAAAGGGAAAAATAAATTCTTTCTAAAGAAAGAGTAGAAAAAGAGAAAAGTACAGAGGCTTATGATAAAGTAAAGGTACTTTAAAAAGAAACATTTAGAAACTGGTGAAGCAGGAAGTACATTTGAAAACAGTGAAATGGCCGAGTCACAGGCCGTGCAGTGACAGCCCCACCGTGTCCTCAGCCACAAGCCCAGTCAGCCGCGCCGGCTCCCAGGGCCGGGCTCTGGCTTGAGCTTTGGCCGGCCGGGCGGGCAGCTCTGTGCGGGGACAGCTCCTTCCTGCACCTGGCTGCCTAGCACTGAACAGGAAGGGGACAGATGGCTTCTAAGTGCCCCCAGCCCTGTCGGCTGGGCTTCTCCAGCTCCCTTCGCGAGGGCACGTGCCTTCCAGGGCACCCTCCTGGGCCGGCGCGGTGGTGGCCTGTGCTCCCGAGGCCACCGGACAGCCGTGCCTGTCTGCACACGCCTATGTCCATGACTGTCACGGGACCCGCTCCCTGCTGCTCCTGTTGCAGATCCGTGGGAGCCTTTCAATGACTTGTCACAACCCCCTGCACGCTCAAACGCGTCTCCACTGAAGGCTCACTAGACAGTTCCCTACACGATAACCCTACAAATGCCCACAAAGGAGGTAAGATAACATCTGTCAGTTCCGACTGGTTTTTCTAACTCCTCTTACGAACAGGAGAAAGAAGTGAGTTTGGCTTTACCTGTGAAAACCTTCTTTAAGCTTCTGCTGATCCAGATGTTGTCCAGACACTTGGAGCCTTGAGGGTTCCTGGTGCTGATGTTGGTGAAGGTGTGTGCAGGGACCAGCGGGCTGAATCTTTCTTTCCTCAGGATATCACAGTCACTGCCCTCTGGCCCTTGGCCAAAATCCCCTAAAATAATCACATCTTTTTCTCCTGGAAGTAGAAGGAAGAAAATCAGGAATTTAAGAGCTGGTGGGAAGTAAAACCCAACACTGACCACAGCCCACTGAGATGCAGTTGTGACTCTCTGATTTAATCCCGGGGTTAGGACTGTGGCATGATTTTCATCCTCCCAGTTTTTCCAAATGTTTGTCAAAAGCCCCAGACTTTGAGTAGGTTAGTAAGACACTTGGAAATAAGGGGTGGTGTGACACAGACACCACTGCTTCAAGTCCATGGGGTCCAAATCTTATAGCAGAAAATGGTCTAAGGATCTTGCCCTGATACTTAACAAAAGCTCAACAAACATTTACTGAGCACCTATTCAGGTCCTCCCCATGTGTGAGATTCAGAAATGAATAAAACACCCCTGCTCTCCAGCAGCTCGCAGTCTACCAGGAGAAACAGACGAGAAAACCGACAAGAGCGGAGCGTCGGTGCAAAACCAAAAACGTGCACAGAGACCAACACGGCACACGCAGAGGTGGTCAGGGAGGGCTCCCCGGAGGGGGCAGTGCCTGACTTGGGTGTCAGAGGATGTACAGGAGCGCTCAGGTCAACAAGGACGAGAGGGAACCTGTGTGAGGAGGGAGTTAAGCAACGGCCTTGTTTCCTGGGGGTGGGATGGGCACCTGAAGATGGTGCTTCTAAAGTATACTGCACCAGGCAGCCAGATGTGCAAGCTGAGACGTCAGCAGCAGCCACCCCCTGACTGAAAGGTGTGCTCTACCTGCCTGAGGGTCCGATTCAGATCAATGCACCACGGGAAAAGGCTGGGGCTTCCTGGCAGTCACTGGGTAGCCCAAGCATCCACCTACCATGCTGATGCACATATTTATTACTATTCTCCTGCTGTAATTTACTTATTATTTTATTTTGGGGGACAGCTGGCCGGTACAGGGATCCGAACTTTTGACCACTGTGTTATCAGCAGTACGCTGTCCCAAGTGAGCCACCAGCCGGCCCTGCTGGTCATTTAAAGGTTGTCCCCAACATTCACTTTTGTAAATAATGCTGAAGGATCTCATTCCGATCTCTGTGTCCCCAGCTTCTGTCGTCAGTACAGAGCCTCAGTTGAAAAGTATGGCCACTGTTAAGACTCTGGGTAAGTGCTGCCAGCCTACTTTCCAATCTCAATCCTCTCCAGCAATGTACAAAGTTTACTGAACCCCCCAACACTGAGTATTACCACTAAAAAAATTAATTTGACACATGCAAATGGCATCTTCTTTCTACCTGCCCCTGGAAAGATCAATTCCATATTTTATATTACATCAAACAAAAACAGTTTTTGTTTTTTTGAGTCCCTTATCCAGAAATACTTGAAAAGGAAGACAGACAGAAATTATTCATTCTTACACTCAGCATGGCTGTGAAAAGAATTAATAAATCTAGTACAGTGAAATGCCCAAGTCCAGAAGGGGTCCAAGTATTTAGCCACGTAGAATAAATATCACCCTTTTGAAGAGTGGGAGTCATGCCCAGGCCTTTCTAAGCAGTTTTGACCCATAAAGACAACAGGCACTTTGGTATCTGGGCCACTGGAAAACAAAAGCTGTGGCATCAATAAAGGTCTGAGACATCCCACTTCTGTAGGTTCAGTTCAGGGTACTTAAGGTTAACTAAAGTTGACGTTGATGTTTTTAAAGATAGGCTAAAATTCACATTTAGAAAAACTCCCTAAGTTTCTACTTAGTATAACAGTAGGCAATGTGATTCCAGAAGTTAGAAATTACTTCCCAACCTAAGACTTCATTTTGGCAATCAGCTTAGGTTCCAAAACTGATTCATCTCTTAAAATGTGACCCCTTAAAAACGGAATGTGTCTCTGTATAGAGACATATATTTTAAGGGAATCAGATAATCTTCGAAGGAATCTTTGTTTTCTTTAAATTTGTCTGGTATCAACCATTGTTTTAGCTTCAGGGGAAGAATTAGCCAGGCTCCTGGGCTAACATGGTGACACTGTCTAAGGCTAAAAAGGTACCAACATGACGCAAACTGTAAGGGGAAAGGAGACGACGGGCTTCTCCTGGCAGCTGACAGCTAAAACGCAAGGGAGTCTTAGAAAATGACACAATGGCAGCCTTTGTTGTCTTTTTCTTTCCAGAATGTGGAAAAGACATTCCTGCTCTTGAAATTTCCATATACAGCTAAAACGCAAGGGAGTCTTAGAAAATGACACAATGGCAGCCTTTGTTGTCTTTTTCTTTGCAGAATGTGGAAAAGACATTCCTGCTCTTGAAATTTCCATATACCCTGGACAAGTTCATGATCTATGTTCATCCTAAGTTTTGCTGGCGCCTCCGCGTAAGCTGCCGTGCTAACTACTGCCCTTGTTCCCGTGCCACCTTTGATGATCCAGATCTCACACACTGCCTTGTGTAGGAATCTTCAATCCTACAAAGTAGGATGGACGAACTGGATGTTGAAGCCATCCCGCCAGCTGGCCACGGCCACGGGGATGCCACCGACCCACCACTGCCCGCCCTAGGCCCGGCTCCGGGGACATGTGTGGCTGGTGGGCTGCAGGCGAGAGACCACCAAATGCAGCCTGCAGCACAGCTACAAATGGCTGTCTCTCTTTTAATATTCTTCCATTAAAAATGTTTACATAAAGTCATGATGTTAAGATTTTGATTCTGAAACTTTTCTTATTAAAGTAATATTAACTTTATTTAACATTCCCATCCTGGCTGGCCAGAGGCGGCCACTGCCCGCTCCTTGGGTGTCCCGTGGGTACTGTATACACACCTGAGCAGACGGGTGTACGTGTTTGCACATGAACGACAGCAACTTCACCTATGAGTTCCTTTGTTCTCAACTTATCAATATATCCTAGATGAATCGTATTCAAATCAGCAGTTTTTCAAACATCTTTTCTTTTTCGAATGAGGGATTCCATTTCTTAACTGAAATCCAATGAGGAACCCCAAAGGCAGAGTGGGCAAAAGTGGAGCTGCTCTGATAGCAGTGGGACGGAGCTCTAAAAATCCCCCGGGGCGGCGAGGACTCCAAAAATATTAATGCTTGAATCCCACTCCCAGAAATCGGTGTTCTGCTTGCAGAGATTCTGATTGAGTGCCCCTGGTGGCCTGGGCCTCAGCATTTCCTAAGGCTCTCAGGGGCAGCTGGGCTTGGGAAGCCCACGCAGGGCATCCGAGAGCTCGCCAAGGCCTGGTGCAGAAGCTACACACCGACGTGGGAAGGATGCACACCCTGAACCGTGCTGTCTCCCCCCCAGAACAACATGCCATGTGTCTCCATTTATTCAGGGTTTTTTTTCTTTATGTTCTTTAGTAACATTTTATAGTCTTCTTCATTTTACCACCATATTTCTAAGTATTTCATATTTTTTATTTTTATTATGAATGGGAGCTTGGTTTTTCCCTCGTTATATTTTTTAACTGGTTATTGTTGAAATATATCAAAAGGTACTAATATTTTAACTAGCCAGTTTTCTTAATTCTCTTACTGGGACTAATTTTTTTTTTTTTAATTTAGGTGTAACAAACTGACAATCATATTCTCTAAAAAGCAGTGACCCTTTGCTCTCCTTTCCCCCGATTCTGCATTTCACATTCTTAGTCCAAACTAATCAGGAGGAAAAGCGGTCACGGAGAGTTACTACACGCAACACGAAACCCTGCAGAGCCGCGGATTTGACAACAGTGGTTCTTGGCCCCAGTTCTGAAGGAAAACGGCTGGATGACTTTGAACACGAAACCCGGGCCCTGCCCCTTCCCAGCTCGGTGACGTGGGCAAGACTTTGAGGGGAGGACATTCATGTTCTCTGCGGTGCTGTCAGCACTGGAGGCGCTGCCGAAGTCCTGGCATGGGGCATCTCACAGGTGGCTCTGGCCCCTCTCCTTTGAGTCTCCTGAGCCAGATGAACAAGAGCCTGACACCAGCAGAAGGGACTCTGTGTGTAAGTCAGAACTCCCGAGGGAACTCGGGGCCAAAGGGACAGGTTTCCTCCTCAAAGCGCTGAGCCCTTTCTCCCACGGTCCGTCTACCCTCCAGGGAGTAGGACAGCTACAAAGTGAGCATTTTCCAAGCAAAGCGAGGAGAAATCCTGAAAGGACAATGGGTCCCATGAGGCTCCGCAGGTTCCCACGGCCTCTGCCTGACCCTCGTGTCACCAGATCACTTCAGGAAACTCTCGTTATCACAGGGAGTAGGGTTGCTGTCACACCTTGCAAGGGAGGCTTTAAGGAAAGCAGTTCCGAGACACTCGGCAGGTCTCTTTCCTTGACATGAATATGCTTCAGTCAATGGCTGAAGGAAAAGAAATCACAGTGAGAGGACACAGGCCACCACCAGAGGGCAATCGTGGGCTGCAGCTGTCACCCTCCCCGGGCCAGGACAGGGGATGGGAGGAAGCCCCCCCTCCGCAGCTCCGTGTGGCTCCGCAGGCTGGGGACACAACCGTCTGGGCACCCAGATCAGGGCGAGCCCAAGCCATCTTGAGAAACCAGTGCCAACTTGCAACAGGAAAGCCGCCTTGAGAATCACATGACTGATCACAAGTCACCCTGGCCAGCACTAATGACCCAGCCCTCACCATGTGCAGGGCTCCGTGCTGACTGCTTCCTCGACAGCATGTCATTTCACTGTCACAACGCCGTGCGGCAGGTAGGACGCTGAGGCTGAGAGGTCGAATGGCTTGTCCCGAGTGTGCAGCCAGCCCTCAGGTCCTGCGC